ACAAGGACCTTATGAAACCACTAAGTATCTGGGGGAGCCCACCAGGGGCCAGGCACTGTGGAGGGAGCTGAGGTTATAAAGACAGGCAGACAGACACGGTTCCTTAGAATATTACTTAGATTTGCTGGGAGACAGTTAAGTGACAGCAAATACACACACATATACATGTGCATTTATATAATTATTAACTTTGAAAGTCTATGGGGTAATAGTGACGAGTGCTATAGACAAGCATAATGAGGGTGATCTAATTTAGGCGGGAGGGACAAGGAAAGTACTTCTGCGGAGTCCAATCAAGCCAACATGAACTCGGAGAAGGAGATGACCAGATGCAAAGTCACGGACAGAGGTATTTCCAATACATAATGTGAAGGCCTGAGTCAGGAACTCACTTAGCTTTTTTTCCAGACCTGAAAGAAAACACCAGTACAGGAGCCTAGTGAGGAAGAACGGCAAGCCACAGAGCCCAAGAGGTAGGCAGGGCCCTGAGGGTGCAGCGTTTTATAAGTTGTGATGGGCAAGTAGCCCCTGCAAACCATGACTGTGACGGTCACCGCCTGGACACTGAATGTGAAGTCAGGCATAATGATGTCCTCAGCAGTGCAAACAACCTCGCTCAATTCTGGGACTCTTAAATGGCTTTAGATTTGAGAGCCACAGTTTAAAAATGGGATTGATTTTCAATTATCTGAAGAAACAGTCTTCTATGCAGGTATCCTCTGGGTCCTGTTTAAGTGCAGGTACTGAATATGCAGCTGTGAGTATATGTGCAGAGCTGAGCTTAGGTAAGGCAGCAACTCCCTTGGACTGAGCATGCACCATTCACACACTGTCTCACTTAATCCTCACAACCACCCTACGAGGTGAGTATTATTATTGAGTCTCAGGAAAGGTAGCGACTTCCCAAAGATGAATGAATGGAATAGGCAAGATTCAAGCTGGATCTCTCAAGTTTGCGAAGTGTCTCCTTCTGTGTAACAATTCCTCCAGGGACACAACTCAAGGAGCATACTTGCTACAAAACCTCCTGAAATGGGAATCAAAGGTCCTCGTAAATGCCAGTCACCTCCATTCACTTCAATTTGCTCAGTCCTCCCTTTATAAATGCAGGCATTTAAGCATTTGCTTAATAAGCATTAATGAAAGACTGAGTAAGACATCTGATACCATTAAGGAAAGGAAAAAATGAAGTAGAGGGAAGAGGGAGGGACATAAGAATCTAAATGATTCAAGATCTGCCTTCAAGAAACTTATATTAGGAAAGCAAAGTCTGATGTACACAAAACTATAAAACAATGGAGGATGTGTTGGGTCACAAGAGAAATACAAGTTAAGATTAATTCCTGCCTTGCCTTTGACACACAGGAAGGATGCTGATGGATAAAGATCTAAGAGGAGGGCTTTCCTAAACAAGTAGTCATAATCTGACTTTTGCTCTAAAAGCCATACCAGAACCTCTTTTCAGATGAACTATGATGAAGGAGCAACAGAGCACTTTGCTCTTAACAGGGACCCATGGCAGATAAAACCTATGCTCTATGTGGCTGAAATGTATTCTTCATATCTAGGATAAAATATATTTACAC